GAACCACCGGCAGACGTTTCTGGCGTATATTCAGGAATATCATTTTAGTTATAACCTTATATAAAGAGTGGTACTAGTTAATAAGTTCATCTAGCGAGGATCAAAGATTGCCATATTTAAATAAACCATTTAAACCGTATCAAAGATTTTAAGGCGAATTTGTTCACGGTATTAAAATAATAACTCAGTCAGTATTTACAAGTTATTTGAAAGGCGAGGTCTTCAACCGCGTTGGTTCCATCGAACAAATATTCTCTCTGTACTCAATCAATCTTAGCAACTAGATTAAAGCCAAATTCTGCAAACCCTATCATGATAATTTGCTGTTTAAATTGTTTACTAAACTGACTTGTAAAGCTAGCGAGTCTAACCTCTGATTTTTAACAAGATTTCCTCCCAACTTCTTCCTCCTCTAATTCAGTTTGAAATCTTTCAATTCTCGCGAGATCACAAGACATCTGTGATTAGAATGAAGATGACCAAATCTGCTCCCTTCAAATTGCTTAACGTGGAATTAAAACGACGCGGGTAACTTCTCTAGCTCTTCAATCTGTAGTCGTATTATTTAAATCGAAATGTGTTTAAGTATTTAGAATAAGGTTAAAAGGAGTTAGTAGCCTTGGTTATAAAGCGAATGGAATTCTTTCATCAGTTAATTTGTTAAATTTATAATACTTTATTCTACTATTGATCTGTTGTCATTAAAACAGTGTGACTGTGAATATCATTAGTATTATCTTCTTTAGATATTATGTAATATTAATTAGTTCACGGGCAATTTAACCTGTTTTCAAAATCTTTTCTGTGTGCTTATTTTAAATTGAAAGATACATTATGTTGTGTGGTGTTGATTTTAGTATTAATATTATTAATGTTTACTATTTACTAATTTCGGTATTTAACTTTCTTCTGTTTTTAAAATTTAGCTGTTATGGAACCAAGATATCTTTCAGTGAATATAACTGGTTAATTATATGTTTATATTTTAGTCACAAGCAGCTATCTGAAACTCTGCGATACAAACGTCCAGATGAATGGTTTATAATTGTTATTTTACTAGATTTCAGTATTAAGTGTTGTACACAATTATATTTAATCATATTTTACTACATTCGTGTATTGATGTTTTACTGAATTAAGTGTTTCACTAGATTCCAGCACAATTGTTTTTATTGATAACTACAATATTTTACAAGAGTCCAATATAAGTGTTTTGCAACAGTTGTATTCAGTTATATTTTGCTAGATTCCAGTATCAGTGTTTTACTGACTTGCACTATTTGTGATTTACTACATTCGAATATTAGTGTTTTTCTGAATTACAATAAATATGTTTTACTTCTACATTAATGTTTTACTGACAATAATTACGTTTTACTAAATTTTAGAATTAGTGTTCTTCTGAATTACACGATGAGCGCTTCACTATAGAATCTAGTCTTATAGTGTTTAATGATGTTGTTTTATTTTTTGTCAATTTCACACAGAACTTAAATTTTATCTTTCCATAACAGTTGACACCTTGTATTTACGGTTAATAACCAATTTTTAAATGGCTAATTATACACACATACTTAACACGAGATATCACAAAAGACATTCGTTTTATTGTTACAATGATCTTTTCAACCAGCTTTCAAAATGTCCCTCCATATTGTGCCGAACCCGTAAAATAATAATGTCTCTATTTTAATTTCTAAAAAAAAATGTATATATTACTAATTACTATATTAAGAACAGTCAATATGTATAATTCAGATCCTGTTAGATTTAACATCACGTGGCGCAGCAATTAAATAATGGTTACTTTATCATTAGAAAGAAGAGTGGCATTATTGAAGATGTATCAAGCATATCATGTCAGTATGGCATTTTACACCTCCGTGAACAACAGACCCGTCGTTTCGATGGCCGTTCGGCAATTTTTTAATTGCATCTTAATGCCCATATACGTTTCTCGATGTTTTTTGACTACCTGTTCCCCTTTCTTTTTGTTTTGTTTTATTGTGTTTTAACGTCGCTGTAGCTTTTCGTTCTTATTTGTGTAACTATATCTAATCGTTTTGTATGATAATCAAATAAAAACTAGAGAGTGGCAACTCAAGCATGACAAGTCACCATATAAAGGAAAACGTGACAATCTTTTTAAGAATAAAACGAGTCGCACAGCATTTCGTGTTTTGGCACAAGTTTGTCGTTAATGTATTTTTTAGTATAGATTTTTGTTTTCCAGTTTTCATTTTTTTTTATAATCATTATTATTTTATTGTCGACATCTGAAACTGTTTTGCTTCGAGTTCGGTGTTTCTTAAAAGAGCTCTCTCTGGCTTGAAGTCATTCTGATTTGCTGGAATAATTTTCCCGTCCGATTAAGATGTAACATTGAGATCGAGATATAACCGATTTGACTTTGATTTAACCATTCCGTGGATTCTAATCTTTTTACCCCCGAAAAAACTCTAGTATATCATAATTATCTGGAAACAACAATTGATGAACTAAATTACCCCCCCCCCCACACACACACACACACTGCCAGTTGAGTCGCATCGCAAATACTAACAGGAACAAGTAAATTAAAGACTTGCCCAATAAGCCTAAAGTATTATTGCAGAACGTCCGCCAATATTTCGGTCGTTGCCGAGTAACTCCAACACTTGTTCATTAATTCTATATATTGGTAGAAGCGTTGAAATTTGCATAATGACAAAAAGTACCTGTATCTCGAATGATATAATGCTTTATCCCTGTAGTTTGGGTATGTTATAGAGTGGTTAAAGGTAATATTTAAGATCGGACCTTCCAAGAAATATATATGTTTAATAGAAATACACCCCATACCATTGTTCATAACCAGAGCTATTAAACTTCTTTAAATAAAGTCAAATGGCTTTTCTCCATTTGACAATTATGATCTTTATGTACAGAATATGTCTATCTTTATCACATTCTACACAAGTAGATTACGCCCATTTTGCAATGTTGTGTAACTTGAATTGTATTTACGCTAAAAACAAACTGCATTATGGTTTGATTTAGAAATCGATCCAAGTATTATCCAAGATAATGTGAAATCCAGAGCATTTAATTGTATGTGATTTGCAATGTTCTGAGTTATATCAGATTCTTTGTCGATTTAGGTTTTTTTACGCGTAGGTTGATACGTGAATTAGGAACCTATTTCTATCTAACCCGAAATCGGCTAGTGAATTTATGTTAGGAATCGAAAAATACAATCTTTAAAGGAACATTGCGAGTAGAAAATCGTTCTTTTTTTATTCTAGACATCTTTTTGGGCACGCCATGGAAATACCACCAATTTCAGATAAAGAGATTCCTAGAATTTTTTTTTCTTCTTTTGTGTTTTGCTTGTGAACAACCGTACAATAATATTCTGTGTGCTTAATATGCCGATATCCGAATCTGTAGGGGGTGAGGGGGGGGGGCTGTAATATGTGGTGTTGTATCAGTCAGTGATCAATCGATTTTAAATTAGACTGGAAAATAAATAAACACTCCTTTCTATCTGCTAAAAAATGATGGTCTGGTCAGTCGACAGAGACCCCGTTTAGTTCTTAAGTGAATAACATTGAATGTTGTTGTAAACATCGAATGTCATTACAATATATTTTTTATTGTATGAACCACAGGTCGACAAAGTAAAGCCCGACGATTCTACATTAAATTCATATTTTACATTATTGCTATACGTTGTAGCAAATTTAACTGAGGTCATTTAATTATTTTATTGCACAATAAGTCAAATTTATAAAAAAAATATTAAACATTTTTAACGCGAAATTCCAGCCGGAAATAAATAAATTTGATTTACATGTATTTGAAAGGTGTCGTGGTATAGGGAGTGGGGAGGGGCACTTTTAATCACGCCTTGTGAATAATTGAGTATATTCTTCGAACCCAAATTTGTAGGAATATTAAAACTATCTACATGTATATTGATTATTGAGATTTTATGTTGTTATTTTCTTTAACATTAATAAGCTGTCGCATTCATCATATAGAAAAATAATTTTAATTTGCATATACCTAACAACCCAGCACAAAAATCTTCTTTTGTCTGAAAAACCTTATGTTGACAGCTAGCAAAACGAGGTGGGTGGGGGTGCATCGGACTTAATTACATGTACGTAGTTAAGCATAATGTAGTGGCGTACCAACGGTTCTCAGCGTCCGGGCAAAAATATAAATCAGAAAGGGCATACTTATTAATTCACGTGTCCCTTCGCACCACCGCCGGGGAAAGACAGTCCCCCACCCCCATGCGCAAAGTGTGGTGAAAGAGCACATTGAAAGGATATGACTGGGGCGTTCTAAGGGTTCTCATTTCCTGGCGGCAAATACTCTTTTGGTGCTCTTACACACGGGTAGTCATATTGAGCAATCTGAAAATATATTAATTACCCGGTATAATATACAAGATCACTGGGGACCCCCCCCCCCCCCTCTCCCCTGCGTGCTTCTCCATTTCCGCATCGTAAAGTTTTAAATCGTGACACTGATCGATTGCTTTCAAAATATGTGTTTCAGCAGATTCTTAATGGAGATAACTGAGGTGATCCTAACGAGGGGCCTAATGTTCAGAAGTGATGCTACATCTCCCATGGAGCAAAACAGTAGGAGGTTAAACCCCATTTCATTTCATTACAAACTACTTAAATAGCCTACAGTAGGTTTCCACCACATGCCCCGTAGTTAGCCTCAAAAGTTCCCATGGTATATCACTTATATTCGAAGGAATTTTTGGGGCCCTCGTTCATATAACCAGGTTTGGATAAAACGGTCTGATAGTCATATGTTCAAACCTTCATTATTCATAATGCTAAGCAATTGGCTTTTCATGAATTGATATAAAATAATGCGTTCAAAATTACTTTCATTGCAAACAAAAGACAAAAACTATCCCTTTCCAATAACAGTTTTAATGAAATAGTAATAATAATAATAATATTTACAAATATGATAATAGTATAATAGTGGGCTGACATATCCTAATAGGATACAATATCATAAAACTGGTTAATAATACAAATAGGTTATTATTGCACCAAACCTCCAAAAAAATTATTAACACAATATTATTTCAATATAAGTAACAAAAACATAAATCAATAATTACGTTAGTCTGAGTCTGAACAAAATGAATTCAGAAATGAGAGAGCAGATACGAAGATGTGGCTAAAGTATTAATATGTGAAGTATATGTCTTTCCATGACATCACATTGGAGCTGTCATAAATAGCATCGCTTCGTATAGATAGGACAGTCGTGGCATAAGAGATATTTCATGCGGTTTTTAACTTATTAATCCATCATTTTTATTATGCCTATTGATAACAAATTTTTGACCAATGCTAATATGGAAAGAAAATCAAATGGGGTTTGACGTCCTACATTTCTGCACCGACTTGGCAAATGAAGACAGCTAATATGGGGTCAAATACCTTTCCGTAGATAAAATGTATGTGTTTTGTTTGCTCTCCGACTTCAGTACTGAAAGCAGTGCAAAGAGTCTAATATATTTTTGGTAAGAAAATTCGCGGTGTTGTTATAAATTAATCAATGTTAGGATCACATTATACAAATGCAAAAGGTCAAAACTATAAATAATTTATATTTGGTGTTTAATTTAAATCACAATGTTAGAAATGTTCGATATACTTCTAAAAAAATTAATTTAGTTTTTTAGAATTATTTAAACGTCTATAATTGTTTCTGTCGATTCGTCCAACTCTAACGACTCGTTTTCTTCCAGCCTTGTCTCTATGAAACTAAGGGGCTGTGTCTGCTGTGGAACAATTTGTGGTGTTGACGTATCTGGTAGCTGCTTTTCTTCCGAATGTTGTGTTTCCATGTGACGTCGTAGGTCGACTTTTCTTTGAAAGGAACGATTACAGCTTTTACAAGAGAATGGTTTAAATCCGGTGTGTTTTCTACTATGTGTTATAAGATTTGATGACTGACTAAAGGCTTTACCACAATGCGTACATTTGTAGGGCTTTTCACCTGAAAATAAATAAATAAACCAATTTAAAATAACTAGCTTCATATGAATAACTTATTCTCCAACTTCTGAATTATATGATTAATAATAATACATATTAGTGTTACAACTATAATCCACTTGTTCATTTTCCTGTATAAATTTTCCTTATTGTTCATGTATATGTTTTCATTATTCATTTTCATTTGCATGTTCGCTCATTTACATTTAACGGTATGCATTTGCATTCATTAGCCATGCATTTATGTCCCTTAGAAAACAATTCCATTTAGTCATTTGTAAAATAAAAATAATCATTTTCATTGAATGATGCCATTTATATTTTCTTATATTTATTTGTGGACCTAAATGTGAGACATTTTGCGGCATCTATTCATAATTCGGCCATTTTAATTTACTGTTTTTCTAATTAATTTTAGGTAAAATGTTTAAAAAATATCCTAAAATTTAATCTCTGACTCAATTTTCTAAAAGAATATATTTTTAGCGTTTTTTCATTTCTGTTTTTATTTATCTATTTTTTATTTTTTTTTTTTTTTTTTAGAAGAATCATTTTCATTCTGACGTAGACATCTTTTACAGAATTAAAATTAAGTTTGATGTAACATTTGGTTTTCCATTCTAGTTGATTTTACCATCGAATATAAAAATGAAATGTAACTGTCGAGTCTCTAAAACGTTTGTAAATTTTAAAAGTATGTTCCACTGTTTAAGATTTCATAAGTCTGGTTATTGACTACAAAAACTGAAATCATTTTTAAGTGAAACGAAATAAATCTTTTAAAAAACTTATTGCCGATACTGTCTTATTATTTTCGCATTTTTTCTACCACATGGCAGCTGTAGATGATATGTTAATTCCCAACTCATTCATTTTGCATTTGTAGAAGAAAAAACGTATTAAGACGTTGAGTGCAACCTGTATGAGGTGCATCGATCCAATGGTGTCGGCTGGTTTTAAGACGATTGAAAAACAAAAAGCGAACCGCAATAAGAAAATATCCTGACTAATCTCTTATTATGTAGAAAACAAACTCCACAAGTGACTAATATTAGATATTAAAACGGCAAGTGTCATATTGGTTGTACCCGTCAAAATTTTGACACGTATATTATAATCATACGTGGTGTCTTGTGGTTTCTTTGGTTAGCCGCATGTCATCGATTCAAGGAATAGAAAAGTTTAGGATAAAATTCACTTCAATGTTGACAGAAACTACTTGTAGTTGGTCTTCTAGACATTGTTCAATTATGTTAATGTGTGTGAAATGAAGCATTAAATCTTCAAATACCACAACCCGTTGACATTTCAATAAAGCATGAAAATCGTTTCCACGTGCAGATGATCCAATATTGCTTTTTGAACAGGTGCACAGCTGGCTGTGACGTAGATCAACCAGATCGATGACGTAATAAAATAGGTAAAATTTGTAAGCGTAGATCCTACATGGTAAGTAATAATTTTTTTTTTCAAATAACGCCAATCAATGATAATGCTATTTTATTGTCATTTATTTTTTAAATATAATTTAACAAATTCAAAGCCATTTCTCAAGTCTTCATACCTATCGCTACGTGATGATCTACATTAGAGTTCACATTTAATATTTTAAAATATTAGATCAAAATGATAACATGCATACTATATTTAAATAAAAACAAAAAAAACAAAAAAAACCAAAAAACATTGCGTTGGCCGAGAAAGTTCATCGGTATTTTCGGCGTGGTTCGGTGCAAGGCTGAGGGTCTGACAAGGGACAACATTTAGTCCTTCGGATGGTACGAAAACCCGAGGTCCCGTGGACACATTACCGTGTACGTAAAAGATCCCTTGGCAGTTGGAATCCGGTATAAGAGTAGTCCGTAGCGCCGCTGTCCTAGCAAAGTTTCCCTCATTGCACACTGTAGCTTCGTTCACACTGCATGCGAATTCAGTGCGAATTCCCGAGACCGGCCTCTGGAATTCGGATTGGTTTGTCTCGGATTAAAAGCGGTACGTCACATTACAGCTTATTCGGATTGAATTGAAATTGAAATGCGCCACACTGAATGCGCATAACTAGCAGAAATGAAGGTCATTCATATGCAAGATGAATGCGTCCGTCATTTCAGATTCAGTTTGGATTTTAGCGAATTGAGTTTGACGCCTAAATCCAGAATAAGGCATTATTCTGAAATCAATTCAGATTAAACCCCCAGTATGGCTTATGCCCGTCTTCATGAGCCCAGTAAAACAGTAGGACGTTAACCCTATTTCATTTCATTATTGGCTTTCAAAATGTATACATATATTTTTTTAATTGTTTAATCTGTTTCCATAAGTATACTTTGTGGGCAAATTTATCTAAATATGTAGGCCTATGACCAATTCGTTCGGGGTAAAATAGACAAGTCCTAGTCGGCTTAATTATTAATATTGGTTTATATTTCGTTTCGTTTCCAACTTATTTTAGGTTCTGAAATTTCAGCAAACCCAGCTATCAATGTTCAACTGGTAACCAGTCCGGGGAAACCACTGCTACATGCTGTTTCATTTTTGTTTTATTACGTTTTAAATTAAGTACTCCTACTGAGGTCATTGTCGTTCTTAAGTAATGTGGAATGGTTATTAGAATGTCGTTTTAGTGCACAACCCGCATATTTCAAAACGTGTGACTAATTATTATTGTCTCTTTGCTCATGCAACTACCAGATTTTGACGTTGTATGGTTTGAAAGCATCACGCACTAAATTCACACTTTCACTATTTCCGATCTTTCTTTCTGATTGAATCCTTCACCTTTTTCTGTGGAGATTTATGAGATGCTCATTTTTTAACAGCCTGACGAACAAAAGATAAGTTGTCACGAAATTGTGATTGAAACTTACACCTTTCGTGGAATCATATTATGTCTTCAATAAGCGGCTACTGCTCGTTTCAATCCCCTCAGGACTTGTCCGATTCTGTTCAGCATGTGAATAAGTCGTAAGACAAACGATTAACTCGAACACGCCTAAATACGTTACCAAATGAAGACAGAATTAAAGGTAACTCTCAAGGGACAAGCTGGCTATGATTTAAGGTTTGGTCTATCGACTGAGTTGTGTTTGCTTTTCGAGATGATCAAATCAGCCATTAGATTAATTTAAGAATCAGTTGGGCCAGCAATTAGAGCCAGTTCCAACACAGTCATGGTGATTATATTCGTCCACCGGGGCTGAGAGGCCCGCACTTGATCGCAGAAGATAATAGAATTAATAAAGCGAATGGTGGAAGAGAAATGTTTCCATGACTGTCGTATGTGATTTTTGACAAGACTTCTGACTTTTGACACGAGTTAGTTATCGGGGTAAGAAGGCAGCTCTAGGGTTAATTAGAGCCTAACACGTCTGTTAAAGACTTAATTAATTCACAAAAATAAACTTGACAACTCAACTTTATCAACCGAACATCGAGTCATATGGCAATGTCATGCTACTCGTACGAGAATGTTCGGCACAAAAGCTGATTTGATATGATCAGTCATGGTGGTAAATGATTCACTATTTTGTGAATGCAAGTTTTCAAGAAAGTATATTCTCTTGTGTTAACAGTTAGGGGGTGGGGAGGGTTGATTCATAATCACATAGACTATATCTTCTGAATTTGAATTATTTCCAAAGAATAAAAAAAACGCACAAAATATTATACAAAAATAAATAAAACATATATGTAAATCCTTAGTTGCGTTATCTATAATATATATAGCAACGAATAAAGAAAATGCATACATTGTCACCTTTGGATATGGAATTTTGAATATGAATGGGTCTTTTAAAATCTTCAATTTCTACGAGTATGAATAATAATAGTATCATAATGTTATATTTATTTTTATCGATTAGGAAAAAATATTTAATATGATTATATTAACGTCAGAAAAACAAGATTTAAAGATAAAATTGAAATTCATTTTATATAGTTTTGTGCCTACTGAGTAGTGGCTAGTTTTAAATACCCTGGAACTTATGATAACAATTACTTGTTTATTAACATCTAATTATATCGTCAAAACGTTGCATGTTAATAAATTATTATTCCATCTAATAAGTTTCCGTGTATTATCCACCAGATACTAAATGCCACTCAAATGACTGATTATAAAAACGCTTTAATTATTTCATTTTGTCAACTCAGTGAATAGCTCTTTGTATATTTTCGTATAATATTAAATTCGTTTTACAAAAATTATTAACCTAATATATTGTTGTTTTAAATTAAATTTCTTTGTTATTTTGAAATAAGTTTTATGTGATAATAATGCGATTCGTTGTTAAATGTATATTTATTTATTGATTGTGCTTCTCATGTTTGCTTTCCTAAATGCATTGTATTTTTATAACACCGGAAGACAAAAGGATAACCCAATGGATGACTTATTTTCAGTTTAATAGGCTTTGTAAATATGTTTACAATTATTTTAAATGATAGTAAGGTAAGAGAATACATACCAGTATGGATATAAGTGTGTTTCTTCATGTCCGATTTTTGATGAAACCGTTTCCCACAATAAGGACAGGGATAGGGTCGAGTATCGCTGTGTATTAACAGATGCGTAGATAACGTGGAAGACCGCTTGAAGGATTTGCCACATTGATTACAAGAAAAACTCTTTTCCTGAGTGTGAACGGCTCTATGCTGACTTAAACTCACAGAATGTCCAAAAGTCTTGTTACAGATGTCGCAGGCGTAAGGTCGTCGACCACTATGAGAACGACGAACATGGACCTCCAGACCATGCGGCGTACTAAATTGTTTCATGCATTTAACACATTCGTAAGAACCCTTTTCAAAAATACCAGGCGCCATATTTAGAGCGGAAACTTTGTCTCTGGTCAGAAATGGAAAGTTTTTCTCAAACCCGGCATACATCCGTTGGGTATTCATCCAAAATGGTGAGCCAAATGGGAACAGTTCTAAAGAATTTCTGTATAAGCCGTTTAAGAACTGATAACGGTATAATTCGGAACAGTTAAGCCGTAAATCAGAAGACTGTTGAACCATAGAACGAAATGGTGCACCTGTAAAATAAAATAGAAGACACGGGTTTATACATGTACAATAACTGATCAAAAGAGCTTATTAAATTTATCGCATAAAGGGGCATTTAAATTATTTCCAGGAGTATTTCGACTCGATTTTATAAACAGAAACAACGAACGTGTTCCTCGCAACCTTCCAGTTACTTCGTCCCCTATAGTCGTACGCCATTGGTGACATGCAAAAACCCAGATTATCTTTCTTCATTTTGGTTTTGGCGAACGTTTATTATACGTAAGAGTAAAATGGTGGACTAACCTGTTGTACATGTAGATTGTATTGATGTAGCTAATGATGATTCTTTTAACCAGGGCCTAAAGGCGCTGAAGCTGGGGTGGGGAAGTCGGTTATTGTGATGTTCAACCTTACTGGGTGAGTGGTCACTCTCCTCATCCCTTTCTGGACTCTCCATACCACCACGCGAATTGGGTCTTAGACCAAGAGATGGACAGTTAACGGGATATTTTAGACTTTCGGATGACGTATCACTATCTGATGGCATATCTGGAAGAAAAAAAATGAATTAGAACCATAGGGTCGAAATTTGCTCCAGATTTACGACTAAGACTTCAGAGATGCTTTATATTTCATACCAAGATTCCAGACTTTAAAGATGTATTTTATTAGAGCTAAATTTGTCAATTACAAGTCTTTCTTTTTCCCTCAAATGTTATATAATTTTAATTACACTTATTTACATGACATACCCATAATCAGCTCTCTAGACTATCGGATGAATGCGATTTGTTATGGATTGAAACGCGATCGCTAATTAATAATTTAATTTACAAATGGATAATTGAGACTTTATTTATCATCGTAAGCTATTCTTATCAAAACTTCCAACATTCATAACTTCGCTCAAAATAAAGTAATTTGACTGAAATTTTCAATATATTCCCCTTTCATTATTTAGTTTAAAATTAATACAGCGAGAAGTGTCAGCTCTTTATCTAAATCTAACATAATGCGTCTTTAATAGGAAATGGGTTTGTTTATTAAAATCAGAAATTATTCATCTCCTTTGTTTATGACAAAATGTATAAGTGTATATAATATACACACTTATCATACAATATCAGACAATACTATTCCCATTAATATAAACAATCCATTTTAAATCCCGTTCTTGTAATTGTCAATTTACACAGAATGAAAATCGTAAAATTGACAATAAAAACTTTTTATTAGTCATAATTGAATTATTGTCAAAATGAATTACATATAAAGCAATGCTATTCGGTATATAAAAATATATATTCAAATCTGTAATCGACATATTCAGGCATAATCATGTTGACTGAACATTTTGTATCGAGATCACGTGATCTTGTATACTTCGCTATGATTCCAACTCGTTTTATTCTGTAGATTTTTCTGTAGATTTTTTGTGTCTTTTTTTTTTAAACATCCCACTTTTCAAGCATTAATTCGCCTTCATCACAGTATGACCGCAATTCCCTTTGTTTTTATGGCATCAATATAAAACTTGTTATAGCGTTAGAATTTAAGTAGACAATTCTACTATATCTTTATTTCACCTCAGCAGCTGATTCAATATTGTGTGCGTAATATATCAATGTACGTAATGTATGCTCGCTCGAATTGAACGTTTATTGGACCATATCGGTACCTTGTGCAATATGAAAATTAACGATATACAAACATTTTTTTATGTTACCATGTAGGTTATTATACAGAATAGAGCTGATAAAATATTGACATTAATAAATATTTCTGCTATTTCTATCTAATCGCTGATAACCCACACAAGCACATCAACTGAACCACAGTATTGATTTAAATCAAGTATCTTTAAAGAGTAGAATTATGATAGGGGTTGATAATAATATATACTATTTATATTGTAAGTATATAGGTATTGATCAATAACAAATTGAATTTTTGATTGTTCTTTCAGCTCGGTACCCTCACATTAAGAACAGTTATCAACATATGTCTCTTATTTATTAAAACGATAAACAGTATTCACAAAAGCTTTAATAGTATTAGATTTATTGGGATTTTTAATGTACTTGATGAATTTTGATTAAATTCTTTGTTCTCGAAAAATTTCAAATTCGGTCGGTATTAGTTTCTATTTTAAAATTTATTTTTGTTCAGATCATCATATGCTACCATCAATACCAAAACATAATAACTTTGGAATACATTTTTTGTATCACATTTTAGATTTTTAAACAGAATATGGATGTGTTTTTATCTATTCTTCAAACTCAACTTTTCCAATAAAACAAATACAGACTATCATATTGGTTTATAACAAAGCAAATGTATCACCTACGAATTATTGAATTGATTTCATGATTTTGTGATTTATGAACCAAAATTATATGTAATAAGAAATTATGAAAAGAGAATTCCATATATATTAAAATCCGAGCTTACTTTATCAATAATTGTGGGTATATTTCATATAAACAGATAAGTTAGAGATTTTGTTTATCTCTGAATAGTAAGTACATGTATATGAAGATCACACTACACGCAAACAAAACCAATACGACATACCTTGCTGACAAGACAAACTATTAAAGACATTTTAAGAAATAAAATATCAAGAAAAAAACATGCTGATCAGATATAGGATGAAGCGTTATATACTTGTTATCTATATATAGCTACATAAATCTGACATTATAATAACGAAACATTGTCTGTTTTGAAAGATTCCTAAGACAATCGATATTTTTGCAAATTGACAATTTAATTTATAAGCTTATGCAAACTGAAAGGGAATGTAAAGAAATCATTGATATGTACATTTTAGATTTATCTATAGGCCTACAGAGACTGTCGCTTTAAGAGATGTAAATATAGGTGTTCATCTGTGTGTAAACAATCAATATGGATGATGGCGATGAAAGATATGACGATATATCGTGTGTATATTACACCTGTGGGCGCACTTGATTAACACAGCTCGCAACACTTGATCTATTCACAATGATACCTTATCGGTGTGGCAGTCAGAATCAACAGCAGTTAGCAGTTAGAACAAAGGGGACGGTTTCTAATGTTTAATTTATAACATCCTTAAAACTAAGACCTTAATTACAAGTTACTCTAAATCTCTACTCCACCCACCTGTATACTGTTATTTTGTCAATCAACCACAAGTGGGCGTGTTTTACAAGTTAATAGACTTATTACCGAAGTGTACCGTTACGTTTCATTGAGTTACCACACCTGATTAAATCGCATGTGCTATATGTTTGCAAACTAGTAGATAATTAAGTGCAAGGTACATAAGTACGGCACCACATAGAGATCCCAGCAATTTTACGGTTGAATTATACCGGTTTGTATAGATCGGGTTGTTTGAATTAGGACCTATAACTTAAAAACCTGTATTTACCCCGATAATGATTTCAGTTCTGGTGTGTTGTAATAATTTATTAAGATGTAAGTCTACCTTAAAATACAGACGGTATTCTTTTAGATAATTCAAAATAAGTAAGAATAAACCATGGAAATACATATGAAAATAAAACATTTTTGTTAGCCCGGTGTTGATTTTAAATTTGCCAGAAAAACAGTTTTCCCCAAGGTAATGTTTCATGCATGTAGTCTAGAATGTATGTAATGGTATATATTAGACTCTTGCTTCATAACATCAATAATACCACTATAATCATTAAGGTTCAATTTCATCATTACATACAAAATAAATAGCATCATTTAATTCCTTATCATAAAGCCATTTTTAAAAAATCTTGTTTAAGTTCAAGCATTTGGTTTCCTACGGTTAAGCCACAAACACACTAACAAACAAACTTTATCTTTATACAGTTTTAGCTTATGAAGGAAATGAATAGAGCAGCGGATTATATTCATCATATTGCTGAATATTGTTGAGAAATATATATAATATAATATAAAAAATAAGTTGCATAGCTTAAAGTACAAATGTGTTTACATTTCATTTCTATTTGGGATTTTTTTTTTAAATTGGAAAGAATCAACCGACATCAATCAAAACCCGAACAAATTGTTACTGTTTAAAAGGATGCGATTTGGGAGAAAATATGAGTAGATTTATTTGGTCAGTTTGGCTATCTGTTTCATTTACAAAGTTTATGTCCGAAGATAGAATCAGCGTTGCGAGATAAATTTCTCTTTGTACAGACCCAATATAGACCTAAAATTAGTAAATATATCGTGCTATAGAGCTGTCCCAATCACTAATCTAAAACCACATATCAGATAAACCCCACACTCCATTCAACTTAAATTGGCTGCCTTGTATATAAATTGAAAATTAATCAAAATTATGTTTGTTTTTTTCCCTTTTCTGTTGTAAACCTAACGCACATGGAATGGCAGAAAATAACAACATATAGCAATCAGATATTACAGGAGAAGTTTATATTATAGAACATTGTATTTAAAACTGATTGCACTGAATACGGTCTACTAATCATTTTGTATCAATCACAAAATTGTAGGAACATTGGAGGAAATTTGAGTTTATTCATCAGAAAAATATAAAATAGTATGTTCAATGAGGTTATGTCTGCAATAAGTTTAAAAAAATTTTTTAATGTTCTATATGCTGTATGTTCTTACAAATTGATTCGATGTGTACGCTATAAATCAAACTATACTGAGAACAAATAATTTATATTGTTGCAAGCCTAATTATTTTTAGAAAATGTTTGCAATTTAAGTCTAATAAATAAATAAAATCTCTGATAATAAATCTATTATTGTATGAAGAAAAGATGACAATAAATAATAGACATAATTTAAATCTGTTGAACTGAAATCTGAATCAAAGAATAGTATATTAATTATGCATTAGGCGACTCGGAACAGTTTCAAACCGACAAGTTAGTCTTTTATCACAAAATGGGAAACAAAATACCAGGTTTTCTATTTTGAGAACAGGTGGTAAGCCTATCATTGTCATGTACTTTTAAATAAGATAAAGAAGCAGGAAACATTTCAGAAGTAAACGAGTAACGTTTCAGTAAATTTGAAGGTACTTTATGAAATATAAACTAGCTCAAAATTTAAGCACTAATTGACATATATTAAAGTTTTCAAATTTGTTTATAAACTTTTCATCTGAATTAATTAAATCTTGTCGAAAATTAATATTCATTGTTTTTTTCCATTCGTGGGACCATTTTAAAATATCCTTATATGTTTTGTTCATACCAATATATTATACAAAATTAAATTCGATAAAGACAAATAAAATGTTAATCAATTTAACAAAATTCTTACCTGATTTTCTTGGCGTCACGAGGGTAAAGGCACTTTTATGATCACTACCAGACATTTCACTTTCTTCGGGATACTTTTGTGATTTCACCAAAAACGATCGCGGCATCATTGGTAGTTCCGAGCTTTCGTCTGCTCTAACAACGTGAGGAACACTTAGGATCATGTGTAGAGACTGATTGGTTTTACACTACACGAGCAATCTTTATACACACTTTGTCTGTTTCTTCCGCTCGACGAGAAAACAATACTCAATTTTGTAAATCAAACTCCGTCACCCAGATGTTTTAAGGGCCGTACTTACAGGAATACATATAGAATTAGCACTCGTCGAGCATGCGCATACGTCAATCGTTACACAGGTGCACGCGTCATAAGAATTAATCTGTTGGGAACTAAACTCTGATTGGCTGAAAGCAACCAAGCAATGCACGAATCACCCCGCCCCACAAAAAGCGAAACAAATTGATTAGCGCTATAATAGGGTTTATTGGTTATATCGCCTCTCTCGCTACTCTCTAATTAATTAACCGTCTTTATTTATTCAAATATTGTTGGTAACACGTTTTCAGCTATTTTCCAAATAGCTTTCTAATTCGATCTTTTGATCGTAGCCGATAAGTAAATAAATACAGGCTATAGCGTAAGAATTTTTTACAAAAAGAGATTAGGAAAGATTAAGGCATGTAGCCAGGTATTTGAGAGGAGATTAATTTGTATCTTCCAATTAAGCTGTATTACAACCCGAAAGATAATTTGTCTAAAACTTAAACTTAAAAAAAAAGAGTAAATGGTGATATCTGCCAATTTAGTATCAAAATTCACCCACCTAACCATAAATGCTGTGGCATTTCTATTTAATTAATAATACACGGTGCCATCTCGCAGAAATTTTTGTATCCAAAAGCATTGAAGGCGCCAGACTAAACAACACTAACTTACATAATATACCCAATTTCTAATTCTGATTCAACATTTATATTTCAAATTAATCTTGGTATTAGAAGGGTATGCTTTAAAATCAAAATTATGAAAAGAACTTTAATTCTCAGATTAACGGAGATATTTAAATCGTTTTATTCTAAAGGTATATAAATCGCTAAAATTGGAAAAAATATAACAGCTGCGTGCACATTTCTTTACTTGATATTGATTAAACAATTAAAAAGGGAATATAATGATGATTTAGTTATAAATCAAAATTTTGAAAGTCCCTTTTCTAAGTGGAAACTCATCTTGAAATAGTCGTTGTTTATCTTTATAAAGAGATAAAGTATGATGAATTATTGAGGTGTGAGATAATAATGTATTAACCACACGTCAGGTTTACACGCTACATGTATGTAATATATAAGATTTTTGTATCATACTATAGGGGGGTGTTTGTGCGAAACGTCAGCTGGAGTGCGCGTGTGTTGTAAGTGTGGCTTATGTCTTATATGATGGGGTAAAGAGGGTTCAAGAAGGCGAGTTGACGATGATAACATTCTGTGTTTTCAGTTAAAGGGACAACCTCCACGTGTTCCCAAACATAACTTATATTAAATTATGTTTCAATCGTACACAGGTATTTAGTAACTGGGTAAATTAATAAACTATAGCACATACATGTACTTATGGAAAACAGCTACTAATATTTTGGGCGACGTTTTGAAGAGATTCTCTCAATGTTATCAACGTTATATATTAGCATCGGTTTTCCATAAGTATATGCTATAGTTTATTAAAATTATGTTGTTGGTTGTGGGGGGGTTTCTGTTCCGGAACTTACTCACTGACCCTGGAACCATTTATGTTTATCATTTTAATTTGTGTAAACTTAATATCTTCCAATAGAAGTCGTAAAATCTATGATTTACTATTGGGAAATACACAGTTGTCAATGTCGCCGGGGCAAAATCTTATTTATCATTGGATACGCGATAAGTAGATTGGTCTATATACGTGATGGGTTTAAATTGTAATGGTAATGGGTGCGACACAAACAATAAAATCATACTATTTTATATCGAGTCAATATGTTCAAAAATAATTATACTATTCAAAGTAAATTTCGTACCAGCAATGAGGCTTAGCTGTCATCTTTAAATGCCTTGGTCTCAAATTCGAAAGCATAAACCTTATTTAGTTCAAATGTTATCTAGGGGGTTTTCTCGTCATTCAAGTAGTTTGAAAGAAGGGAGGGCGAGTCAGTCGTTCACCAGCTGTGGGGCCCTACACGTTCTCTCTCTGGTTGACTGTTTAACCATTTTATTATATGCTCGCTAACTCCTGTCTCCTTAAACAAAACACATAATAAAAGCTCATAAGGAGGGAGAAAAAAGACAAATCGAGATTGTCCTTTATTTCTCTTCCATTTTCTTTTATTCTTCGATATTTTTCCCTTTAACTGAGACAATATGGCAAATGTATAGTTTGAATTGTATTGTTATAAAATATGAACATAATAGATCTATGAACCTGAGATTTCAACTTCAATACAATTTTGATTAACTAGGAATTAAAGGCTATCTTAATAAAAAAAATTATAAAAGCGAAATATAAGGAAAAAAAGACACACTGAGAGAATTCTATTATTATTTTAAAATTGACAAACAACAAAGTCAGATTGTGATAGATTCAATAGAGAGCAATTAAAAATCCCAGTAGCATTGCTTTTATAAAACCATTATCATCGTATTGTAAATTTCAAAAATTTTCAGATCATTTTTAAACCTTTGAAACAGACGCGACCATACAAATCTACACATAAATTCCATTTGGGGAATACGCGTGTGGAAGTTGTTCAGATGAAATTTGAATCATAATCTACGATGCATCAAAGTCAAATTTGAAAGCTCTCAGTTCATGCAATTTTTGTATATGAATCAATTATCTCAATTGCCGTACGTCTTGTATTATGTATACCATACGTATAATATGATAGTTTTTAAGCTTTGTTTAAAATAATATCAGTTGTAGCTACATAAGTCCAGAATATCTGAAATTCCAGAAAACCAGCCACAATATACATTAAATAAACACTTATATAAATCTTAATCATATTTAGGTATGTTATTTCCGCGTGTTATACATAGGTCGAACATAAAAGCAACAAAGTCCATTGGCATTTTCCACTGTACTGTTTTAATTCTATAAGCCCTACACGAATTTATACCATTATTTCAAAATAACCATAACCATTATTAACACACAACTTTATGGATTTACTATACTTCTTAGTTTATTTCACGCAACGTTTCAATGCTCCTAAAGCTATCTTTACCTACTTCTAAATGTCAATGAGGGAAATCGTAAACATGTGTAGACATTCAGTGTTATGATATATAAATAATTTGTTTCAATGGTATTTAGTAATTGAACTGGAATATACAGGTCACAATTCTATGGAATACAAGTACTGCTTACGATTGAGCAAGGCAATATATACATGTGCACAATAATACTTAGTTAATGCTGACCAACATTAACTAAGTATTGTTGTGTACATGTATAAATTGCCTTGTTATATTTTCATATTTTGTCATTGCTTGATGATGAATAGAGAAGCCTTGTCGAAACGTCGCTCAATCATAAGCAGTAATTGTATTCAATAGAATTGTGTCCTGTATAATATAGATCTATAGCTTTTATAACCCCTATAGTTTAGTGTATGCTCCAGTACATTTCAAACGAAGGAAACACCGTTTTAAAATACTGATACTTTCATAAATTACATTGACATCTGATATAGTGTGGCGATTTTAGTTGTTGATTTTACCAAATGAATCCATTAGATTTCCTATATTTTACCACTCGTTGGATAAGGTTTGACTTTTGTTATTAATGGCGATCTTATATTAAATACAGACTTGTAAGCTGAACAGATGAGAATTAATACACATTGAGACTTTACATTTAACTATTATTGCCACTGCCCAGGCAAAAGTCTCCCTTGTCTTCCCTTGTGAGTAGGTTGGAATACTACATGCCTGAAACTACTTTCGTCCAAGTTGATAAATAAATTGACCTTTTTTATTTTATCATCATGGACAGAAAATAATTTGAGCGTTACCAAACGTCTATTCGTGACTTTGTTTATTCCGAATAGGTTTACTGCATGCATAGTCCCAGACGTTATTTTGGATGTTATCTTCAAATATAATTTGTTTAATTTTTGCAAGAAAGGAACCAATAAATTTTATTTTATTCTTTGAAATCCGAGCAAAACAGTAGGGCGGTAACCCTTATTTCATTTCATTTTATTCTTTGAAATTCAAATAAGTTTTAAGAGGGAAAAAATACAGTTTTGTTTAATTATATCGTTTTATTTCATAGTCAAATGAGAACAAAACAGATTAAATCGCAAGTTGATCGTTTTGTCATATTTGTGTTTTATCAAACGAAAAGATAATCATAAAAGTTTTTTTTGTTTTGGCCACGCGTTCCTTGATGATTGTCGCACGAGTAGCTTAAATTCCGATACTCGCACACCGTATGTTTGCGTGTGCTTACTCAGGCTTGCTATTTTAAGAGACCCCGCCACATTTTTTGTGTTCTATTGTGCAAAATATGCAAAGCATAAATTAAAGATACTTAAGACGATAGGGAACTGTGTATTAAATACGAAAATAAAACTACTGCGTTTATCTGAAAAATCTAAGATGGCGACCACAATAAAATATTTATATTGATTTATGGTACACGAGTCAGCAGACAAATGGTATTCTGATGTACAATCAAGAGACCATTGGCGTCTTTAACTTAATAGCCATTTTGTGATCTTTTCAAAACTGCTTGAGCGATTTTCGTTTTTTTACCTCCAGATTGTATGCCTGTGGCCAATTAGTATAGTCAATGAACAACCGTCATCATTTTCGTTAATAGCAAACATTTGTATTACTTGCATATGAATTATTCCGATTCATAAACAATTGACAAAATATATAAATAATATATTAGACACAAATTTAAAATCTTTTGAATAGTTTTTCAATAATAGGTATCATATAGTATCATACCGTGATGAATAATGAAAATATATTGCTTTGTAAAAATAGAAGCTTAAAAAATCTGGCATAAAAACCGTGACCATCACTTGTAAATAACACGACATTCATAGTTGATTTCATCTTTGTTACCCAGATGTTACTATTTCATAGTCAAAAAAATGTGTGGCATGAAAACATATGTCGATGCCGAAATCTTATCCATAAAAATAGACCATTTTCAAGAAATCTCATGATTCCCTGACCTTTTTTTGGTTCTTATTAAGTAATCTGTGTATTCAAGGGCGTAAATGTGAG